TTTAAATTAATCTTAAAACGTTTTATTACAACACTAATTTAAAAACTGTTAAAAGTGAATGATGAATCTGACCCTCAAAGCAAAACATACTTAGGTTAGCTTTGGTGATAATGAAAATGATGTCTTGTTATTATGAAAAATAGTTACAGAGTGATAGTTATACAGAGTTACGAGAAAGTCTGGCGAAAAGGTGCTATATTTGAAAAGAATAAACTGAACTTAGCAAGATTTAGCAAGATTTAGCTTGTTTGTCTCATTTTTAGAGTTCAAATCTCTAACGACGACTATAAGTTTATTCGTTTCAAAGATATTACATTACTGCCAGACTTTTTTGCAACGCCGTATATATACACGACTTTAAATTGAGTGAAGTTAGTAAAACCATGTACATAAAGCAGACGACAATAAATCATTTTTCTCACGTAATTTAGAATATTTGCGCTGCTTGTTGAAGTGCTTGATGTTAAGTCTCTTTAATTTAAACTGGTTAAAATGGTAAACTGTTCTTGGAGTATCTGAAATAAAATGTATTATTTTAAATAGTTATCTAAACTTTTAAACTCGATTGAATTGCTTATAAATATATCTATGACAAACCGTGACAAACTTCGAACACAATAAAATATAAAATTCAAATGAGCTGCCACTAAATTTGGTGTGTAAGTTTATAAATGAGGTAGTCTACTGCAAGACGATCTACAAAACGCAATTCTCTGACAACCCCGTAAATCGTTCACATTAATTTCAGAAAAATTATAAAAAAATTAGAGAAGATTACCAGTAATATATATTTTAAAAATATTAATATAATATGCTTGTTTAGCAAAAAAATATTACAACTAACAATATAATGTGTGTTATGATACAATAAGGGGTTCTAATGGGGGAGTGATGCGTCTCAAATAGCCTCTCCTACTCAACAGTCAACCTCACATTCCCGTTGGTAAACCCTGTTATCACAAACGAGGCTATCCGAATATAGGCGGTATCACCTTATCATCCTGCACGGAGAAAATGTCGTTGCCATCTTCAGGTCCACTACCCCCTGAGGCTTGTCTGGAAGCTACAGTCGGCAGCCCCGGCACCAGACTCGGATGCGGAAGGCCAATAACCTTATTACTGAAACTTTTGTAGAAACAAACCGGACGGAACACATGTTGACGACCTTGGCATCACCGAAAACACGGACACGATTTGGTTGTTGAAATGTTACAACTCTGTATAAGATTTCTAAACTAGCTCAAGCAGTAGAATCTGTAGGTCTTCTTTCTTAGCATCAATCCATCTCCTTCGTGGTCATCCTCTACTTATTGTGTCCTCTGGTTTTAAAAATGTTAATATATTCGTGTATTCGCGATCGTTTTTTTAACTTTTTATTTTCAGAGCATGCCTGGTAAATCATTGAATTCTTAAGCACATCAACTTGTGTTCAGTGTATTCGAGTATTTCGAATTAGAAAAAATTAATAAAGGTCCTTTGGAGCCATTTTCTTTTGTTCAACAGTTAGTTCTTCCTAGGACGTTTCTTGAGTGGAAGTGTTTTTGGAGTCCTTATTAAGGTTTATTCGTCTTTTAATTTCTTCAGTTGTTTTGTTGGTAGTAGTTACCGTATGTAAAACTGTCAACACGTTTAAAGATAACAACTTCAAAATACTGTATCTCGTTCCTCATTTGGTAGAAACCAACATGTACTTGGTTTTATCTTCGTTGATAATCAGACAGCCCTGTTTCGCAGTCGTTTCCAATTCTAAGAAATATTGCTTAACATCTCCCTTGCTGTGCCCTATTATGTCAATGTCATCAGCGTATACTAAGATTTGTATCGATCTGTAATAAGACGCAAGCCAGGGCATGCCCTTGTCTGAGTCCATCCTTTATCTCAAAGATTCTAGAATTATCTCCCTGTATTGCTGATACAATACAGTAGTTTTTAAAGTGGTGGATAGAAATTGCATGTTTCTTATATATGATATCATGGACGTATAAACACAGATGGACTTAGTTATTTACATAAAATTGTGTAGTCAAAATTATTCGAATAGGTCACATTCTCAGCACCTTCAACTGTTTATTGGTTAGATTAATATATTTAATAATTGTAATCACAATATCAAGTGTGCACATAGTGTGCATTATCATTTAATAATTTAAATAAATTTAATAACAGCGTATAATAGATATCAATAAATTATTTTATATGTAGAAGCACTGAAAACTATTTATAAATGGCAACGGTTGTTTACATTCCTCTCTCTTATGGATCTACGTCAAACTTCAAATGCTGTTCCATGTTTGTTTACTTTTTACAGTAGATGAGGAAAAGTTATTTTTCGATATTTTGGCTGTATTTTGAGTGATATTTGTGAAAAGTGGAATAAAATAAACAAAATATTTACATCCCGATCTCTCACTTCATTTGTAAGTACATACAATTTACATTATTTAATATGAGGAAATAAGGAAGCCTGTTTGTTTACATTTTAATAGGCGTACCATTGGGTTTATTCATGTTCATTAATGTATTAAATAAGATATGAGTTCATGAAATTAGTAGACATTTTTAAATTGTAAGTAGACATCATCTGATTAAAAAATATCTGTTTAGTACCTTTTTAGTTTAATATTTCTCATGGATACAAATAAATTAGTGAAATGAATAAAACTCATTTATTTTTCTATGTAGGTTTCCAAATAATATTGACGATCGAACTATTTGGGTAGCAAATTTAGGAGAAAACATAAAGATTTTTTATTGTAGCATTATTTTGGTACCTATTAAAAAATTACCTTAAATTCAACTATATTTAATTGTATTAATTTTTAAGCAAATAAAATTGTATTTTAATTTTTCTATAAAGACGTGATTTGTTAATAGGTAAACTCTCGTTTTTTTTTGAATTCTTTGAACGTGTTTTTATACATTATTACTACTTCCAATTTTTAAAATCTGAATAATTACCCGTGAGTAATAATTCAAGCCCGCTTATGCTCATTGCGGAAGCATCACATTCTATCGAAGCTTCAAAACATTGTGTGTATCTTATTGCTGTGTTCATCTATGTTTATACGTCCATGTGTGATATATTATAATAAATTTATATAAATCACGTAATATTGTATATAAAAAAATGCAAAGGTTTTTTTCGAACATAGTTAAACATTTTTCTTCGTGTATTGAAGTTGATATATCTGAGAAGATGTACAACTAGAAAACCATATTTCATTCTTTCAATGAATCGAAATTTATATAAATGTATCAAACTTTCATGTCAGCGGAAAGGGAATATCCCCTACGCTCAAAATTTTTTTGACAAAAACTTATGTATTGTTGACACGTCTCTAGTTGAATGAAAATGCTTTTAGGGACGCGCTTTAGTTTTGCAGAGAGAGAAGTAAAAAGTATGGTAATATTGTTTTGTTCAATATTAAATCTTTTTTGTTATTTTTTTCAGAATAAAAAATTTAAAAACCCATTATATATACTACTACACTTACAAATATTCGGGATATACTAAGTGAATAGAAAAATTGGCTCAGTTTGCTATTACGATTATAATCCCGCAAAGGATATTTTTTTATTTTCGTCTTAATCTAATACAACTTACAAAAGCTCAACTGATCAGCTCAACACGCTAAACGGTTTAGTTTTCGGACTCTAGTGACGTCTTCGGTATCTGAGAGTTGCTGGTAGGTGTTTAGCTCCACTTTTTTTCTTCGGTCTCTTATACTCTTGCTGGATAGTCTAGCACTAGTAATAGTGCTAAAAAATTTTGAAAATTTGTTGATTACCTTGATGTCTTTTTTTTTTTTTCTGTTTGTTATGATATAATCTATTTCATTGGACACTGCTATCTGGCCTGATACATGTCCGCTCACACTGAGGCTTTTTATCGAAAAAAGAGTTCATCATGAATAAATTTTTCTGGTATAAGAAGTTCAAAAATCTTTGCCCTCGTACATTTCTTTCACCATAGCCCTTCTTCCGCATTGCTACTTCTGTATCCCATATTTAAACCCCATTTTCGCATTAAAGTCGCCCATAATTATTGTGTAATATTCTGGTGTGGTATGTAACGCTATTTCTAGGTCCTCATAAAAATTTTCAATTTCTTCATCCGAGTGCGTAATCATTAGAGCATAGATCTGGATTACCTTAACGTTATATCTTGCATTTAGTTTGAAGATAAGATATACAATTCTGGGACTTATGCTGATAATTTCAACTATGTTTTTTGTGTACTTTTTATGCATATGGAATCCTAGTCCACCATTTAAGGTGACTTCTCCACCTCTAAAATGCAATACTTGTCCTTATTTAAGAGTAATTTGGGCTTCCTCTCTTTGTTTTATTTCACTGTGGCCGATGAAGTCCCATTTTATATTTTTCAGCTCCTCCTGTAGTTCCATCATCTTCTGGTCTGATATAACATTGAATGAAGTAATACACATTTGTAGCACTTTGTAGTAGCCTGGTTTTTCCGGGGATTATAATGACAGCCTCTGCTCCACACCTGTTCTAACCGCTACCTTGGTTGGGGGTGTTAAAGCCGCTAGAGACAGGGCCGTTTAGTAGTTTCATCTTTCATGGAAAATAACTTTTGAGGTTTTAAGGAGGTGGAGGTGGAAAGGGTGGAGACGGGAATGCTTTGGATTTGGACATGGTTTCTCCCGGGTTATCCCTGGAGGCTGGGGAAATCCCTGAGCTTACGTGGGCAAGTGTGCTATTTCTGACGTAGATCTATCCCATGCCAAGTTAGGCATTGTTTATTTTGTTGTTTAAGTTAGCTTTTGAATTTGACACTCCTGTTGTACAGTAATCATAAAGATATGAACCTAAAAAGTATTCGAATAGAGTATACTTAGTGCTTCAATTTATTCTGCAATGCTTTGAGAAGTCTTTATACTATCAAAAACTTCAGTATATAATTTTTAAAGAATTTTATTTTTTCTTAATATATTTTTCTTAACCTTTAAGTACAGGTCTAAAAATGATTCTTCCTATCACAAGCCTACAAGTTTTTCACTTTCCTTCCAAATTGCATCACAAAACTGCTTATCTTCCAAAACTTTAGGTTCTCTGTGAACTTGGTAATTACAAAAATACCTTCCGGATACATTTTTAACTTTGTCGGAATACGCTAAGAAAGCTACAGCATTTACACACTGGCTTGCATCCCTAGTGACACTTTTTACAATAAACTTTGCAACCGATTCCTCCATATTCGATAAAAAGTCTCCTTTTCCTTTATGACTTGCCGTTAAAAGAGTAGTATTCATCATTCGTGGATGTACACAGTTACTCATAATATTGGATTTTCGTAATTTTTCTGCAAAACCTTTAGAAGCTATCATATTGCAAAGTTTGGTGTTATAGTAATGAATAGCACCTGAAATGAAATGAGGAGTAAAATAATCAGGAGTCTTCAACTTTTCAACTGTAAGATTATGGAAGAAAGAACCATTAGAGGTAACGAATATTATCCTTGGGTTTTGAGATGTCTTTAGCATATCCACCATTAAATGAGTTAATAAAAACGGACCTAAATGATTCACCTGCATCACACCATCTAAGCAGTCAATAGTTCTGCACTTCTTCATACAAAATATACCAGCGTTATTAACCAGAACATCAACATAACTTACTTTTTCTAAGAGTTTTTTAGAAAAACATCTAACTGATTCAAACGAAGAGAGATCCAAAAAATAATCGTAAACATCTTCGTTACCGGACATGCAGATAATTTTGTTTCTGGACTCAGATTGTTTATCTTTATCTGCCATGATAACTTTGAAGTTTTTTTGCGATAATTTTAGAGCTATCTCGAAACCAAGGCCCTTGTTGGCACCTGTTATAAGAACTATTTTTTTAAGAGAATTTGTACAACTCATTGTCAACGACTACTGACAAAAACATGTCATGCCTGTCAGATTAATTTAAAAAATTTTTGACAAGAGGCTGCGTATTTGTTTTAATATAATTAACAGGTTAAGTACATGGTACACTTTTTTCCCCAATGCACTAAATGTAAATAAAAAAAGAACGTTAAAAAATGTTTAAAGTTTTTATATAGGTATTATTATTATTATCATTATCAACAAAACACCGTATCTAATAAATGTAATAACCAAAGTGAGGCTTGCGGTAATACTCAAAATGTTTTTTGTAGTATTTAAACGAAGTGTATTGGCACAGGGAACACTGGAATGCATCTACTGTAATTGTATAATTTGCCCTCCTTTTAGCTAATTTGATAGAATATTTCGTTGAACTGGCAACGTTACCATAGCAATTAGAATGATATATCGTCGTGGTACTTGCAATAGGTCCTATGTCAAAAGTTTATGGTTTATGAAACATACATGACCAATTCAGTCAAATACACAACTCCAATAAGTCATATATCGATGGGCCAATAAGAAAGATGGGTCGTGACTTCATTTAGGTAAATAAAATTTCGGATAAATTGATGAAGAATTGTATAGATAGAAAGTTGTTTGTCCTTTCTAAAAAGTTACATGAAAATGACATACGGCCTATTGCAGGTACCACGACGATATGTGACAAGATCAACTTACACAACTTGAAAAACACGATTTTCGGTTTTAAGAGTTGTACCAGTTTTTTATGACGCGAAGGGTACCATCATATTGAAAATTTTAATGTCTTTGTTGGCCGATCACTTTTTTTTTAAATATTTCTATTACTGTCTTTAGCTTTCAAATCAAAATCTACAACATCTACACTCTAAAATGCGAATTTTTATGAAAATTTTATTTTTCAAAATGTGAGTTCACGTTGGAGTTTCGCGGACACCAGCAAGATTTTTATCACAAAATGCCTATGAGAGTCCAATGTCGCATCACATCTTGATCTGTCTATTTCACTTGATAACGTGTCGACAAATCTAACAAGGGAAGCTGCGTCGCCGTGGTTTACGCGATTCTTGTCAGTACTTAGATTAGAGTGGTACATAATGCAGTCGTACGAGAAAGAGTAACAAAAACTTAAAAAATATTTTCCAAGAATTCTGTCAGATGAAGAATCGGATGAGTTTGGCGACACGTATCTTTCGTTAATCTAGTTAATTACCAATTAACTGATTCTAGTGACAGTGAAAATGAATCGAGTACTCCGGAACAGAATCAAAAAGGAAACGAGTGGTCGGAAATACCAAACCGTTTTGATAAGGTGTATCAGCATTCCTAAAGAAAATTTTAGAAAAACCAATAGTATCCAATGTAATGAATGAAGCTATTCTCTGGGGGCCGGTCAACGGTGAAAATTTACAGAAAAAAACTGTTTTTCAATAAAAGTTTTTATTTTAACGCGAAATACGTAATATCAATCGATGACAGATTTAGTCAATACTTGAGACTATTTTCAAGTAGATAATTTTTGAATAAATAAGAAAAAAAGTTGGACCTGCATCTTTCTTGCACCAAACACGTGAAATAATGCTTCTTTACAATCATTTTTGAGAAAAAAAAAACAAATTCCCAATAAAAACTCTTTTATTCGGTTACAACAATCAAACGACTATGATTTGCCTACTACACAAATACGAAAAAATCTGCAAAAAGTAACAGGTTGGTGTCAAAAAAATAGGATTCAGAAAAAAAAATAAAACAATAAAAACACGGGCAAACATATCCTTCCATTCATATACATTGTCGTCATCATCCGATTCAGATGATTCGGTTTTCTGGTTCTCTGCCATGGCTGCATCACTTGTGATATGGGTGTAAACAGCCATTTGATCCATAGGAACGAATCGTGTTGTCAACTGCATTACATCTGCATATTTGGCTTTTTTGACAGGTAATGATTGCAATAGACAGGAATATCAGAAAAAACTGAGAGGTCGCTGTCAAGGTTTCTCAAGATTTGAAATAAGTGAAAACTAGGAAGGCCAGTAGATATACTGACTTTAATACTATCTAAATATTCATTGCTGTACTGGAAGTCTTTGCTTTTGATTATATTTTTTATATCATCATCATTATCAATCAGCCAATCGCGTCCACTGCTGAACATAGACCTCCCTCAGTTCTTTCCAGTGTTCTCTACACTGGGCCGCTTGTAGCCAGGTTCCCGCTACACGTTTTATATCATCGGCCTATCTAGTCGGTGGTCGTCCTCGGCTTCTTTTAGTTTCTGGGCCTCCATTCTATAATACATCTTGTCCACCATCCATCTTGTGTTCTGGCTAAGTGCCCTGCCCAGTTCCACTTAAGGGTCGTGGTTCTTTCGATGACGTCTTGAACTCCTGATCTTTGCCTGATTTGTTGGTTTGTTATGTGGTCTCGAAGGCTCACGTTCAGCACTGCACGTTTCATGCCTCGTTGTGTAACTCTGTGTTTATTCGCAGATTTTTGCGTGAGTGTTAAAGTCTCTGCTCCATAAGTTTGTATAGGCAAAACATGATTAATATAGTGGTACAAAAATGACACTACCTCGTTTGGTGACTTTCGAGCCGTAATATCATCATAAATATAAAAGTGTGCTTGATTTGTCTTACCAGAATGGACGCAGAAGTTGTATGTCCACAACTGGTGTTTGTAGAAAGCTTTCTCAGCAGGCATTTTTAGAAGTGAAAGGTTTTGTTGGAAGTCAAAGGTCAGAACCTCCACTTAGTCGCTATGCTTGCACAATGTGGTTTTATCCTTCAGCTCCTTGAAAAACAAATCGGCCTTAATTTCATGCCACTTCTTTTCCGCTGCTAAAACTTTACGACTGTCGAAATGCTGGTAACCACACCTCGATCCTCTCTAAGTTCTTCTTTCCGATTAGAACGCGTCAAATGTCGATTTCTCGGCGATTTCGATACAAGAAATCGCTCATCTCTCCGCTGTTCTTGTCAGCGGACATAATCACCAGTATATTGGTATCGACGATACACTCGGGATACAACAGATTGGCTTGAATTTAGTCGATTTGCCACGGCCCTCTGGCTCAGCCGTCTGGCTCAGCCCTCTGGGTCAAGATATGGTATCCATCTGTAATGCAGTTGTGAACTTAAGTGTATTAGTGGAGTTGCTATGAAAATTGATGCATACGATGTTAAAAGAACGCGTTAAGTGGGTGCGTGTCAATTTCAATGAGTCAAATTCTGACCCCCCTCTGCGTGTTGGGAAGGAAGCATTTTATTTATTAAAAGGGCTCTCTACAACATTGACTCAACTACTAGAATTTAAGTCAACTAATCAGGCAGCACTATTTTGTTCCTGTGTTGCATTTTTTGCGTATAAATATATAATATTTTTACGTGTTTAATACAATTCAGTTTTAATTTATTAATTTTAATTTAAAACATTTAATCTAGCAACAGAAATGGACTTCTGAAAAAGAGCAGCAGGCAAATCAAGAATAGATCGGATACCAAATAAGAGAATACGAGAAATGATGGAAGTCAAGCATACAATAGTTGATGACATAAAAACAAAACAGTTAATATGGTACGGCCATGTACAGAGAATGCTAGATGACAGGATTCCAAAACAGATTTTGACATGGACATTACAAGGGAGAAGGAAAAGCGGAAGACTGAGAAGAAGCTGGAGAGAGGGAATTGAGAAAGAACTAGAGGAAAGAGAAATCCCTCCTGGCCTATGGTTGAATAGAGAAGAATGGCGGTTAGGAGTCATAAGGCGTCGGAGACCGCTGTAAACCGATAGTAGTAGTAGTTTAATTTAGAAAATATATTTTTCTCTGATATTGGTAATTTGATTGACAGTTTCATCTTCCTTCAATGGTTTTCAATATCAAATCGGCCAAAAAGGGTGAAACAGACCATATGCTCTATGGATACAGTGTACTTACAATAAAAAAATTCATAAAAAAATCATATTTGTTAAATCTTAATACAAAATTCTTAAATCATTTTCCGGAATAGAATACCGCAATCGTGACACAAAAGTGTGACTATATATTTATCTACCGTTAAATATTTTTTATGTGCTTGTTCCTTATATTTATTCTTAATATTCCTTTGGTTAACTAAGCAAACAACTTAATATTAGTAAATATTAACTTACCTCCTGGCTTGGAAGTATCCGGATAATCGTCGTAGCCCTCATTATCTTCTTCGGTAGCCATCATCTGAACTACAGGAATTTCTGTAATAATAATAAAAATAAATCTCTCTTGCTCTAGAATAAGTAATATAATAAAAAGGAAAGAAGATTATAAAAGTATGAACTTTACATATCGAGAAAAAATATTTTGTGATATACGAGTATATTAGTTTTTATAAAAAAAAAATTTGATTAAACAAAATATCATCATCAATTAGCCTATATTGGTTCACTGCTAAACGTAGGTCTCCCGTAAAATTTTCCACACATTTCTATCTTGAGCTTCTTGCACTTAATTTGTGGTCATGCGCTTTATATGATCTGTCCATCTAGTTGGTGATCACCCTCTGTTTCGATATACCTTTTGCCTTGATTGGCATTCCAGAATCTTTCTTGGTCATCTATCATCCGTCAATTTGACAACATTTTCGCCCGAAGCCCATTTAACCATGGCCATTCTTTTAACTATACCCATGACTCCTGTTCTTCTTCTTAGTTTTAGATTTGGTAATTTATATTTGATGGTAATACCCAACATTGATCTTTCCGAAGCATGTTGTGTAAATCTTATTGTATCTGTTTCTTTTGTCAGATTTAATGTTTCTACACCCTATGTAAGAACGGGTAAAACGCATTGGTTAAAAACCTTTCTTTTTTTAAGCAAACTGGAATATTAGACTTGAAAATGTTCAGTCTACCAATGTGTGGCATATCCTTCGTTGTTTTTCAGTTGTCTGATTAATTCGGCCTAACCGAATGTCATGCCTTAGATATTTCTAAGCTAGTAGGTACTTGGTCTAAAATACGAAAAATAT